ACTTGTACAAGATAAGTATACAACTAGCCACACATATAACTTTTGATTACCTATTTAAATAGTCTACTTGAGAGTTCTACACTAGCTGCCATATCTATAAACTGCTAAGAGAATATCTAATTAAATACTCTGATTTCTATACTGCACTTAGACAATTAACTACTCTAGTTCTTATACATCTAAGTGCTATCTAACTCAACATTTTGCCTTTCTTTTATATATCTGTCAAGCTATTATCCAATTTTAGAGCATGTTATCTGACTATAAGACTCCAAGAGCCTCTTTGTTATCTACTTATCTACTCTATAGAACATTAATAGAACTTGTTTTTGCAGAGTTTACTCAAACTTCAGCACTTACTTTATAGCATATTTCTAGTACTTTTAGTATATCTCTGTTTTTTTTCTAAACTTCTAATCCAGATAACTTGATAGGACTATGACCAGTTTATTGGTATATCAGGTCAGTCTAATATTCTTTTTCTTTGGTTTTTCTGATTGAACTTTCAGCAGCCTGGTTGGTAGTACCTCTTACTTAGAGGTTTTTATCTATCTGAGTATTCTATATTAGTATTCATTTTTTAGATCTAGTCTTTTATAATAGTACTATCAAAGATTTGTATTATCTCTCTATTTAGGTCTTTTCAAATAGGCTCTTTGTTCTCTAATTTTACAGATTTACATAGTTACACAAACTTATTTTGAATTTGCACCACCTGATGCCAGTTTGCATTTCTCTATATAACCAGTTATACAAATGCCCTATGACCTGCTAGTCATACTGATGTGACTATAATTACAGATATATTAGTCTAATCATTAGGAACAGTTGTTATAATACAAATATTATATAAGTGATTATTCAAATTTTCACTATTCGTAGGTTTTGAACTTACAATCTACTACTTGGAAAGTTGACAACTTATTCACTTTACTAAGTCATCACACTTTACTAATTAATTCTATTTTTATGTTCTAAGTAAATTTGTTCTACATATAAAATTATATTATGTTGATATATTAAATTTATATTTTTTAAATTTTAAAAAAATAATGTCAAATTTTGGTTTTTTGATCAAAAAATCTAAAATTTTGTATTATTTTCTTAATATATAAAAAATATATTATTTAATATATTAATATAATATAATTTTATATATAGAATCAGATTACTTATAATATAAAAAAAGAATTATTTAGTAAAATATTAAGAATTTTAAAATTTTTCATAATTTTATTAGTAAAATTATTGAAAATTTTAAGATTCTTAAAAGTTTATTAATTAATTCTATCTTTATGCTTTAAGTAATCTGATTCCACATATAAAGTTATATTAGAAACATATAATATTATTTTAAATTTCATAATTTTTTTAAAAAAATACTAAATTTTACTAAATTTTAAATTTTTAATTAAAAAAACCAAAATTTGGCATTATTTTCTTAAAATTTAAAAAATATAAAATATAATATACTGATATAATATAATTTTATGTGTAAAACAAATTTATTTAGAACATGAAAATAGAATTAATTAGTAAAATTTAACAATCAAAAGAGTTTTTATATTTTTATTAATAAAATTATTAAAAATTTTAAGATTCTTAAAATTTTATTAATTAATTCTATTTTTATGTACTAAATAATTAGATTCTATATATAAATTTATATTAAAAATATATAATAATATTTTAGATTTATTAATTTTAAAAAAAAATTTACTAAATATTATTAAATTATACTAAATTTTAAACATCTATTTAAAATATTATTTGGAATATAAATTTAAAACACTTAGAAACTAGTTTTAGAGCATTATCTGAACCTGAGAGCTAGAAAATTATAAAGTAATTACATTATTTTTAAACTATTAATAATTTATAAATTAAATAATTATAAAATCTAAAATTTAATAAACTATTAAATTTAAAATCAAAAACATTTAGAATATAGTTCCAAAACATTGCCTAGACCTGAGAGCTAAAAACTATAAATTAAACTAATATTAAATAATAAAGTATTTGAAATTTAAAAAATTGTTAAATCTGAAATCTAAAACACTTAGGACCTAATCCAGAGCATCACTTAGGTCTAAGAGCTAAAAAACTATAAATTAATTATATTATTTTTAAAATATATTGAATTTATAAATTAAATAACTACAAAAACTAAAATTTAAAAAATTACAAAATCTGAGATTAAAAACATTTAAGATCTAGTCCTGGAGCATCGCCTGGGCCTAAAAGCTAAAAAATTATAATTTAAATTATACTACTAATTAAATAAGTAAAATTTAAGATTTAAAACATTTAGAACCTAGCTTTAGAGCATCACTTGGGCCTGAAAGCTAGTATGTTGACTATTGCACCTGTGTTTGTACGCATAAGCATATATTATTTAAAATACTATCTCAATATTTAATGTAACCAATATACATACTCTTTATGTATACAGTATAAGAAATGAAAATAAATTTCAGAACTGAATTTATTATATTTATTTAAGGTTTTTTTTTCCAATAGGTTTTTTCTAGATTATAAGTCTAAATTTATATTTATCTCTATCACTATTATTAAATTTAATTAAATTTATTTTATAATAAAATATTACATTATTAACTATATATTATATAGCATAGCGGGCTTTCATTGTGATTGGCTGATTTTTGAAGATCATCCCGTGATATTGCAAAATACGATTGGTTAATCGATAATCAAAAATCGTTTAAGGCGAAGATATTTTATACGAAGCTAAATTGTGACAAAATATTTTATATAAGACTAAGTTGGTCTTAATAAAAGCACTACTACAAAGATCTCACATTTAAGAGTCTAAGACCCTCAGCCTAGGCAAACAAGATTCCACAAACAAGGATCTTATTAAATAAATACATGAATTAAAAAAAAAACAAAAAAAGACGAAACAAAACTAGAAAGATGCAGAAAATATACTAAAATCTAATAAAAATCATATAAACCAACTTCAATCGAAATACTAGTTTTATTGGTGTAAAACTATTTTAACCTTAATTAATAATCTTAAACGTGGTATTATGTTCTAATCTTGAGATTCACAAACTTATATTTCAACACAGAGCACAGCATGTTGCTAGGTTGCGTTACTAAACTATTCCACTAAACTATTCTACTAAACTATCCCACTAAACTATCTCACTAAACTATTCCACTGGTATTATCTGTTTTAGGATTATAAATAACTCACAATAAGATAAATTAGTAAAAATAACTTAAAAAAACCAATTTACTAAACTCAATAATAGATTCATATGTTATATTTATGACTTATTTGCTAAATTGAAACGTTCAAACATACCTCCTATCTAACTTCCGAATTACCTCATGAATTATCGAATTACTTTGTCAGTTTATAAAGCAAAGCATAAACTTCTGATTTGTTTTGTCTTACCTTCTCGGAATTCGTATTCATGGCTCCAAATTCAATCTCATGATAGAAAATCATTACTTTAATAAGACTTTCTTATGATAAGATGATCTTTAAAAATCAGCCAATAATAATAAAGCCCACTATGCTATATTACGGTGTAATCGAGGCCAATCGGTCGGATTTCTCGAGTAACCTTCAGGGAGGATAAATTGGGTCAAAAGAGGCGTGTTAGATTTGTCAAGTAGTTTGCTTGAAAAGTGGTTAGGTTCTACCGGTAAAGGGGTTTCGGATTGTTTTAGTCAAATGTACTGGTGTACGTTAGTGGTTATGAGTTGGGGACAGTTTATGTAGCAACAATTATATTTCAAATAAAGGTTTCCATTTATTATTATCATCAGGCAGTTTATTTGAGTGATTATCAATTGTATGGATTATGTATTTGTTGCCAAAGGGGAAGTTATCTTTCCCAAAGGGCCTTTTCGGCCTTTATTTATAATTAAAATCTTCTATTTACATTATTCGATGGATACGACTGATATCACTGATACTATTAATCAGTCGTATCCTACTGATATTTCTCTTCTATTCGATCGCTGCTATCTGCCACATTCGATGCATGTGTAACATGTGACTGATCAGTTGCATGCGACGAATACGACAGATGCGATGGATGCGATTGACTCCTTCCCTAATTAGATAATATTCCGCCCCGAACGGCCAGGGTCCATTCGGGTCCCACAACGGTACTAGAAACAAAAACTTCAAGAAAAACTTCATATAAATCGATAAATACACATGTTTATTTGATTATATACGTATATAAGATAGATAGACGAATATAAAAAGAACTGTGTTATCACGTCACGTGAAATCATGCAATTACCTAAACTATACTATCACCTAACACTAACACACACTATCACCTAATGCTAACACACTAACCATAGTGACATTACTAATTTACAATCAATGATCTCAATCTAGGATTGAAATGAAATTATCTTTTGAAAATTATTCAATATTAATATTGTAACAAATATTTGAATCGGTAGACTATGAGAAAGCAATGATGACTCAGAGATTAATGGAAATGGATTTGGTTACCATTGGCCACTACTTACAATATTCCTAAAAATAATACACTCATAATTAAGATTTGGGTATTACTTGCTATCCTTACCACTGTTTCTTGAATAAGATCTGAAAATATAACTACGCATATTGATTTACTATTACCTAAATTTGTTTCTAATTTGATTCTAATTTAAGAGTTTGGGTTAAATTTGAAATTTGAAATTTCAAAATTCAGAATTCAAAACGGAAGATTTAGGATTTTGGCTTCGAAACAGGAGAGAATTTAGGATCTGGAATTTGGATGGGATTTGGGATGAGATTTGGGATTTGGGATAGGATTAGGGATTATGGCAGCCCAAATGGGATTATTCCAATTTGGGATTTATGATTTTCCACTTGGGATTTGGGTTTGGATGGGATTTTAATAATTTATAGTTTGGGCGGCATGTATAGTTATAGCCCGATAACCGAATAATAGCTGACCGTAACCGACCGTAGCTGACCGAACCCATCCACACGTTGTCTACCGGAGCACTGATTTCGATAATGCTTTCGTGATCTCTTGCATCTTAATGGGCTTTGAAGCGTATTTATTTTGATCTGAATGTTTTTGTACGATACTTGCCTCTAAAGATTGCTTATTATCATCTAAGATTTGCCTTTCAGCTTCTAAGAATTGCCTTTTAATTATTCTTTTATTACTCTTATGCGCAAGCTCTTCGATCCAAGCAGTAATTATCGCATTAATATATATAGCAGTCGGTCTTTCTTCTGGATCTGATTCCATACATTGCTTAGCTAATTTAACGTAACATTTGGGAGTCCCAGGTGCGAATTCTGGTCGCAACCCACAACAAATTCTTATTGCTAGATTATTATTAAATCTGTAATCATCGAAAACTTTTTCACCTGTTGATATTTCCCACATAATTATACCAAATGAATAGATATCCGCGGCTTGTGTATATGGTTGACTTGATAAAACCTCTGGTGCAACATAAGGTAAAATCCCAACAATTTCGTTGTTGTTTTTAGCAGGAGATGTAAGACCTAAGTCCGTGATATACGCATTATCTAAATCGTCTTGTAAGATGTTACCACTATGCAAATCTTTGTGAATATATCCTTGTGAATGAATAGCTTCAAGATCAGATGTTATACAACTTAATAAATTTAATTTTTTTCCCCATTTCATTTGCGATACTTCGCGAAGATTATTACGTAAAGAACCCTTTCTTGCATATTTCAAAATAAGAATATAATTTCCTGAATTATCTTTCGATAGCCCATAACACCTTAAGAATGATGGATTTTTATATCCAATCTCGCAAAACGCTTTCAACTTTTTTTTTAAAAAAAATAATATACATCGATATATATTAATCATAAATTAAACATTAAACAACTAGATAAATTTACCTCATCAAAAAAACCTTGATTATGAATTATTTTAAAGGCGAGTATATAATTATAGGAGGAGTCCTTATAAACGATTCGGCAATTAGCACGATAAACAGTTGCGAAACCTCCTTTCCCAATCTTTTCAATATTTTCAAATTTATCATATGGAATCCATAATAATTGATACTTCTCATCATTCAATAATTTTTTAATATTGTGATCAATACCGGAATAAGGGAATTTCTCTATTTCTGTTTAAAAGTAAGCTAAATTTATTAAAATAAAAAAAAAAGAACAATCTACAAGATCATTACCTTGAAACTTGCTTCTTTCTCTATTTTTAAATTATTAATATTACTTTATATTTTTCATATAAGAATTAAAAAAAAAAAAAGGCCTACATTTTAAACCAATGTTCAGCTTCTTTTAAATCCTTTTTTGTTCCAATTCCGTTTCTGTAACAATAACCAGTGAGTTGCATTCCTTCTACGTGGCCCATTTCAGCTGATTTCAGATACAATTCAAAGGCTTTTTTCAAATTTATTTCAACTCCGGTTCCATATCGATAGCAAGTTCCAAGATTAGATGTTGCGGTAGTGTCTCCCATCTTTGCAGATTTTTGATAATAAATAAATGCCTTATGTTCATCCATTTCAACTCCAATTCCACTGTTGTAAAAATAACCAAGCTTATTCGTTCCTTTAACATGACCAATATCAGCAGATTTTTGAATATAATTGAATGCTTTTTTTTCATCCTTTTCAACACCAGTTCCATCTTGATAACAACATCCAACATTATATGTTCCATTAGCGTCTCCCATTTCTGCTGATTTTTGATAATAAATAAATGCTATATGTTCATCCTTTTCAACTCCAATTCCATTCGCATAAAAATAACCAAGCTTATTTATTCCATCAACAACACCCATATCAGCAGATTTTTGATAATAAATGAATGCCTTATGTTCATCCTTTTTAACTCCAATTCTATTCGCGTAAAAATAGCCAAGCTTATTTATTCCATCAACAACACCCATATCAGCAGATTTTTTATATAATTGAATGCTTTTTTTTCATCCTTTTCAACTCCAGTTCCATATTGATAACAATATCCAACATTGTATGTTCCTTTAGCGTGCCCCATCTTTGCAGATTTTTGATAATAATTGAATGCTTTATGTTCATTCTTTTCAACCCCAATTCCATAAAGATAACAATATCCAACATTATATGTTCCACTAGCGTGCCCCATCTCTGCAGATTTTTGATAATAAATGAATGCTTTATGTTCATCCTTTTCAACTCCAATTCTGTTGTCGTAAAAATAACCAAGCTTATTTATGCCTTTAGCATGACCCATATTAGCAGATTTTTGAATATAATTGAATGCTTTTTTTTCATCCTTTTCAACTCCGGTTCCATTTTGATAGCAATATCCAACTTCAAATATTCCCTTAACGTACCCCATCTCCGCAGATTTTTGATAGTATTCAAAGGCTTTACTCAAGTCTTTTTCAACTCCATTACCGTACCAGTATCGCTCGCCCTTGTCATAAAATTCTTTACCAGTTTGGTTCATGGTTAAAATGAGGTAAAAGACATATTTTAGCTTAACGCTTAAAGTTAATATAACTTGATTAATTAACAGGAGGAACCGTCGATGTTACACGACTGATCCTTATTTTACAATACCAGATCATTCCGCAAGTACGTATTATGCTTATAATCCAATACCATTTTATTATAACAAATATTATGTTCTAGCGGTATTGTAAAATAATTTTTTATATGTTGCATACCGAGTTGTGTAACATCGACGACCCCTCCCGTTGATTTAATTACATGCATGTTGAGTGTTGAACAACGTTGTTTCCATAAAGTTCCTTTATTCCTTTATTGGTGAACACTTTTGTTCATAATTGCTGATCTTATAATTATTAAGAAACTAAAAAACTTTAGCCAATACCCATTTTTGTTATTTATACATGGGAGCCGAATTTCGGCCGAAAACATTTTCGGTGCCAAAAACATTTTGTATTAACTGGCTACTTATTCCTTAAATTGTAACACAGGCAAATTTGCCTGCATTGATTTTTTTGGCACTCGAAAATATTTTCGATACCAAGAATATTTTCTAACGTTAAAAATATAATTTAGATATTGAGAATATTTTTTGGTGCCAAGTATTTTAAAGTACTCTTGAGAAGTTCCATCCAGTTACCAGGCCTTAAGCTATCTATTAATGTTAAGTTAAATACATGATTATTTACTTTATACATCCCATTATTTGATTTCATATTGCAATTTATCTTATGCAATTAATATTTATGATCTATACTGAAGAATTAGTTGTCCGGTTGCTATTAACATTCTACTATACTATTACATCTCTCTATACAAACTTTAGCAGCACAAACATTTTTAAGTTTATATTGAATCAAGTTTTATAGTTTAGGGTATACTGGATCAGAATTATTAAAGTACAAAAAGATAATTTTATTTATTTATAAATTTATATTTAAAAATAATGTAAATAAAATATTAATACAACATTGAATTTTTTTTTAACTTTCTACTATGTTAGGTTATTAATATGTTGGAATAATTTTTATATCTTGCTGTTCTTTTAGTAAAGTGAGCTAACATTCTTAGTTGGCATCATTTTAATAATGAATTTACTAAAAAGAGTATTAGATATATATTATAACCTTTAAATAATTAATATTTAAAATTTTAATGTTACATTTGATTAGAGCTTACAGGTTTCTTAATCAAATAACTTTCAAATAACTTAGATCAGCAAATATTATTTGAATATTTGCCTAATAACTAATATAATTCGAATAAGTACTATTTATTTAAATAACATATAGGTTTTGAATGTGGTACAGCTAAAATATATAGTCACTATATGTGAAACCATCAATGACTTAGGTTTATATAATGAATAATAAAAATTATTCTTATTTGAATAAAATTTGTATATTCAAATCATTTGTTAAATAATTTTTTATTTGAATATTTACCAAATATAAATATTATTTGAATGAATATAAATACAAAGTTTTTATTTATATTACTTATAGCTGTATTGATAACATTATCTATATTATTATCTGCATCTTTTTATGTTTTAATGTTACTATTAAGATTTACTTCATTTACATGTTCTTTTAAAAAGATATTAAAATTAATTATTTTACTAATTTTTAAATTTTTATAATTAAATTATCTAATTTCTTCTAAATTATCTTTATCAAAAATATAATTTTTATTAAATTTTTCACTAGTAAATATATATTATTATATTCAACTAAATTCAAATAATTTTCTATTATTTGCTCAAATTTTAATTCTAAAAAATTATTAGTAATATAATTTAGCTTATTTTAAGCCAATATTTGTTAAATAAAGAATTCAATTTGTTAAATTTAAAATTTTAATATTATTAAATAAAATTGAACCAATTTGATTTAGTGATTTAAATTACTCTGTTTTGTTATTTCTTCTAGTAAAAAAAATTAGAATATATATGATTTTTTAAAAAATTCTAAAAAAAATTAAATAAATATAGAAGATAAGTAAAGTTAAATAGATCTATTTTATTGAAAAAAAATTTGATAAAATTTACTATATAAACAACTGTTTTCTTTTTTTTAAGAAAGAAATATAAACTAATAAATTAAATTGAACTTGTTAGACATGCAAGTAATGAATTATAATTATTTTATTTTTTTATTTTTTATTATTATCTCTTTTATATTATATTTTTATATTTTTATCTTATTATTTATATTTAACTTAGTTAGTTTAGTATCTCAAATATAATAAAATGACAGATAATTATTATAAGTATATAGTAAATTAGTATTGTACAAAAGCACAAATTAAAACAGATATATAGAAATTATAATAGCATATATAGTTTTTAAAAAAATAATTTCTTCAAAAGAAAGCTAATTTTTTTATTTTTATTTTATTTCTCTTTACTATTTTAAAGATTCTTAGACACCTTTGGAATCTATTACATCTTTTAAAGATCAGAGTTATCATTCTGCAAAGATTATTAGACAGTGTATAATTTTTCATATTACTGAACTTGTAAAATAACTTATATTTAATAAAGTTTATTATATAATGTTCTGAATTTCTGGCTTTGCAGTATAAGATTTACTGTTCTTTTAGTTCACAGTTTTCAAACTTTATATGACCTACTAGTTAGATTATCTAAATAATTCAAAGTTTTTAATTTTATTATTACATATTTTTAAATCAGGTTTTCTTAATATTAATGTTATTTGTTAATAGATTACATCTTATCTGGTTGTTTCCAACTTTGTGACTATACTAATAACTGTATTCTCTTTATATAAATCTTATTCTTACTTTTAAATAAAAGTTTTCTGCTAATTTTTTTTTTCAATTGTAATCTTGGCAAAGTTGTTATCACACTTTGAACTCAAACTCATAACCTTGCCCTATCGAAAAAAGTATACGGAATTTATTTAGAAATTATACGGAATTTTTCCGTATTAAATTCTGTATTCAATAATACGGAATTTGTCATGAATTCCATATCACTTAATACAGAATTTAATACGGAACTTTTTTTTTATTAACGTTTTAAAATTAATTATTATATTA